CTTGGTTGTGGGCACATCCCCAGTAGGGGGTGTGCAGGAGGCAGCTGATCGATGTTTCTCTCTCATCAATGTTTCTAACTCTCTATCTCTCCCTTCCTCTCTGTAAAAAATCAATAAAATATATTAAAATAAAAGAAAAAGAAAAAAAAGTGAGGAAATGGCCCTAGCTGGTTTGGCTCAGTGGATAGAACGTTGGCCTGTGGACTGAAGGCTCCTGGGTTCAATTCCAGTCAAGGGCATATGCCTGGGTTGCTGGCTCAATCCCCAGTGGGGGGTGTTCAGGGAGCAGCCAATCAATGATTCTCTGTCACCATTGATGTATCTTTCTCTTTCCCTCTCCCTTTTTCTCTGAAATAAAATATATTTAAAGGAGAAAGGGAGGGAGGGAGGGAACCATACAAGGAGGGAGCGTCAGGAGTGGGCTTCCCATCACAACCGACGCCCCTCTCGTGCTCTCCCCTCCAGGGCATGGTGGCTGTGTCTGGCAGTTTGTCAGTGCTTCTGGATTCCATCATCTGTGCGCTCGGTCCCCTGGCGTGTCTGACCACACAACTACCTGAACTGAATGGCTGTCCCAAACAGGTCTTGGTGAGTTCCTCTTGTCTTCCTTGGAGTTTCATAGCCAGAACCCTTGGGAGCCAGAGAGGCCCCATCTTAAAGAGCTCTATCAGGCACAAGCTGCTACGGCATCGAGCGCAGAGGCTCCCGCCACGTGTGGGGACGTGATACTGTGTAACTCGCTGAACGCATGCCTTGCTCTCAGTGACACCAAACATGCCGTCCCCTAAAACAGTCCTGTGGAGGGAAGATTCTAGCCCTTGAGGTACTGCAACTGCTGTATCTCCTGTTTGTTCCACAGTAAGAAGTACAGGAGTCTTCTGCCTCTTTTGTGCTGGTATCAGTGGAGTAGCCAGAAGAAAGCCTAGCATAACAGACACTGGATGCCACCTTCATTCTCCCCGTTTTCTCAAACTCGGGTTTTCTTTCTCACCTGGGTCCCCCGCACAAAGAAACACGTGTCAGGGAGCCAAGGCTCAGAACTCTGCAGTTGAGTCTTTCCCCCTTGTTTTGCAGGCGAACACACTAGACAACATCGCTTATATCATGCCTGGACTGTGACAGCAGAGAACCCTGGGACAGAAACCTTGTCCTACCCCACTGCTGGTTTGTGTACATATGACCGTTCCAGATCTCTTCACTGGCCACTGGGTGTAGGTTTTAAATTTTTATATACATACACATAAATATATATATATAATGTACAGTATATACATAGGATTGTAACTATTTCGCTTTTAATAATTTTATGAAATGGCAAAGGCTTAGCCAAGAGGAAACCTTGTCATGAAAATGGGCTTGGGATTCTTTTTTCTCCTGTGGTGGATAAATCTGCCTTAAAAATCAATGTTACTTGAGGGCTGGGGCTTGTTCTGGGTGCCAAGTGCATCTCATTATGGACAGCTAAAATGTGATTTTTTTCCCAAGCTCAGTTGTACCTCCAGACCCATCACTGACCATTTGCCTTACCTGTCTTACAGTCTGAAATGTAAGAGGAAAGATTATGGGAAGATGCCAGGTGACCGAAAGTGCTAAAGCCTTTCAACTTGAAGTGTCTTAGGTGGGAGCTGATAAAATCGTTCCCATCTGAGAGTAATTGCGATGGCTTAGGTGAACCTAGGAGGGGTTCATTCCAGTTCCTGCGATACAGGTGTCCGTGTCTCAGCTTATTGTAATCATTGGCAGCCTCGGTGGGGGCCAAGGAGTTCTGTGAGCCCTGGCAACATACAACGCCTTGAAGAGGGTAACGCTGTCAATGCCACCAGTTGAACTGCATATATTGTGAGGCGACCCGGAATCTTTGTTTGGTCTGCAGAACGAAGAGCTGGTATCTTCCATCTGGCAGCATTCGCTTAGCCACCAGGTCCTCCCAGGTTCTGTGTAACTGCGTGGTGGCTGTTGAAGATGAACTTGGCCTAGTGGGATTCTTGGGTTCATCTTATTGGCTCCCCTGGTTGGCAGATCCACAGTGTTCTGCATTCCACACATAAGTGAATTGCAAAAAAAAAAAAGTAGTTGATTCTCATGTAGGTTTATTTATGTGCGCGTGTGAATGTATTTTAATTATGTGTATTTAACTCTTTAAAATCTTAGATTTTAATTTATCCTGTAAATTTCTGTATATATAATTTAATAACACAACCTCCACCAGCAACAGCATGTGGAAGATACAGATTGTTCTTTCTTCTTCCCTCCTTCCTTTGAAAACTCCAAATCATCTGCATTTGAAGGCATTGTGCCTCAAAAAGGAATCAATATGTCAGGATTCTAGTTCTTTATAATTCAATAATGTGAAGAAAGTGAAATAAAAAGGAATGTTTTCATTCCCAGCTGCCCTTATTTCCAAAGAACCAGACTTTTACTTCCTCAATCCAAAGAAGACAGCTGAGCGCTTCAGGGTTGTTTTTAAACGTGTGAGCCTCCCTGCCAAACGGCAGCTCGGAGGGAACTTGCTTTCCAGGCTCCACGAAGCTCCACAGCATCCAAGTGGAAGTTTGGGGACAGTGCAGCCAGTCCGCACCCCATCGAATGCCTCCCCTTGTCCCCAGAGTGGTTGCGGGGCTTTCTTAATGGTGTTCTGGCTGCTGAATGCCTTTCTCAGCTCAGAGCGGTTGGTTTTGAGATTTAACTGGGGAGACGGAAGGAAAGGGGAATGTTTGGGAACCAAAATCAGGAACAGAAATCTCGTTTCGATTTCGTGTGTTAGAACCTGTACCATGCCTCATCTGTACCCACGGAAGTTTCCTGTTTGACACAGGTATCAAGGAGGGGCCTTGAAGACATGGCTTAGTCCCGAAAGAAGTCAGTCCTGCCATGGTCATTTGTATACATTCATGCAAACCTGATGACCTGCTTTCTGTTTCTTTTCCTTTCAAATCCAATCCTATTGTATTTGTATTTAAAATTTGTACACATTTGTATAATAACCTGTACCTTGTGGTATTTGGTACTATTAGAGGAAAAATTTTGGATTCAGACCTTCTTGCAATTTTTATATCATTGTTTTATTTTTGTTTTTAAAATAAATCCTAGTGGTTTGATCCAAATTCCATTACAATTGTATAAAGAAATAAAATTTTGTACTTATATTATTAAAAACCACATTTTTAATATTTATAGTCCAGTCTCAGCTATCTTTTCCATGCTGCCAACCAAAGTTGCTCTGAAAGTAGAAAACCTGTTTTTCACACTATCTCCTACCATAATTCTTCTTTTTTTTTAAATCTATCTGGAATAGAGGTCAAGTTTCTGATCTTAGTCATTTTCCTATCATCTTGCTCTGTTTCTGTTAACTTTTACATTGTGGGGTCTCATATTTTCTCTTTTACAAACTACAAACCCAGTGACTGAGAAGTATAGCTCTGGTTCATTGACCAATAAAATTGCACGTACATTAATGTGTACACATAACTCAAGAAAATACCAGTCTTGTGTAAAGTTCACATATGAATCATATGTTCCAATATATTTCATGCTGTTTCAGTACTGTCTTGACTTAGTGATACTGCATCAGTCACTTAATCTTTATAGATATCCAAAGTCCCATTTGTAAAACAATGTTAATGTCACTTTCCTGTCTCTAAGCCAGAAGCCAGCCAAACTGACATGAATGGTTGGAAATATTTTGAACATTTAGTATACAGAGATTTGGCTTTTCAGGGTGTAAAAATTTCAATGCAAACACAAGGTGTTAATAGCCATAAATGATGAAATACTGTTGTTAAAAGTCTAACTTCTTATGGAGTAATTTTCATATCTCATTTTATCCTCCCACAAGCCTCATGAGTATTATTCCTCTTTACAAGTAAGGAGACATTTGCAGAAAAGTGCTTTTCCTAAGATTATATGCCTATTAAATGGCAGAGCCAGAATAAGCATGCTGGTATAGCCAACCCCAAAGCCTAAGCTCTCTTCTACCCAAAGCCACTTTCAGAAGTAAATTGTGTATGTAATTCATCAGAATCCTTTTTTAATATTATCTATAGTATTTAGCAAATGTGGAAATGTAGGAAAACCTAAGACCTTTCTTTAGGTCTGGAAGAGGAACCTGTTTTGAGAAAAGCATTTTTACAGAAGCAAAATTGAGTAAGTTATCTAAAGTATCTACAAATCACTGAATCAACAGAAACACGTTATCTGGGGCCATCGGGGCAATTTAGAATAATTGTGCTGTCCAGATTCCAGGATCACTTGAGTCAACAGTCTGTAGCTACTGACGCAATTTAGGATAATTGAGCTGTCCTGGTCCCCAAAAGAATTTGCTTCGATGACCCGTGAGATCACAATCAATGGGATATTCCAACGATCATCAATGGAGTATTGGGATAGCATCCATAAGTTCAGAAAATCAAAATAACTTTCTATTGTCTTAGCAAACAAATAAGTACAGAACCCAAACAGCAGTTTCTACCTGAGATGATTGCTACCATACTTCAATGTGATCCACTCCCTGTTTAGGGTCACATGATTGTCTCTGCTTTTTTACTATGAAGGATAAACCTTATGGCCATTTTGTTCTTGGCAGTAAACCAAGATATCATAATCACTTTAAACCAGAGTGATGATGTAGGAAGGCAAGAACTTACGGTAAATCACCCCACACAAACTAATTGAAGAATCCAAAGGAAGTTCCATACAACCAAGCAATAATCTTTTTTCATTTTTTATTAAGGTATATGTGTACATATCTTACCAATTCCTATACATGCCCTCCCTCCCCAGAGTTTTGTGTCCATTGGTTATTCTTATACCAAGCACTAATCTTAAATGAAGAAAAATATGAATGGTACCTGACAAGAAGTTCATCTAATGTACATCTCCCCTTATAGTCCAAAAACCATTATTGAAAGGTAGATTGATTCAAATGTCCATGTTATTGTGCTGGACAACAGTGGTGAGTAAAGCAGACATAGTATTCCAGCCCTTATGAAGCATCTAGACTTATAGGGGGAAAGGCATTTATTTATTAAGTCTCACATGCATTATTAAAACACTTCAAAGCACAGCAATTATGATTTCCATAACGTTTTTATATTGTAAAGAAGTTTGCCCTTAAACTGGTTAACATTTGTTAAACAGGTTAACACGCAGTAATGATTATAAGTTCACATTAGATTTTCCATCATCCTAAATTTCTGCAGAGTCAATTTACTAGCCTTGAATCACACAAACTTGATCAATAAATACTAAAGTCCCATACTATCAAAACAGTGGTTATTGTCTCTTTTGGGGTCTTTAGAGGAAAAAAACAACCCATTGATCTGGCGTCTAATGTGACATCTGAAACATGGCCCGGACTGGCAGGTTGAAGAACACAGAATTACAAAGCTGGGAAAGGCCTCTGAGAGCCTTCATTCTCAACTTGGGGTCAACAGCTGTGCTTCGGGGGCCCCAAAACTCCCCGAAGTTATATTGGATCTCTGCCTTTTCAGAAAGGCTCGTGGTTTCAAATTCTCAAAAAAGCCTGTGACCTCAAAAAAAGAAAAGTTGAGAGTCCTTGAACTAATTCCAGCATCCCGAGAATATGGGAAGCTGTTTGAATCACACCGTAAATGAATGGCAGAGATGAATCCCAGGCACCATTCGCGACATCTGCGTGCTCTCTGCTAGCCCGTCCCAAGCTGAATTTATTGAGTTGGCTCTCTGTCAAGGGAGCTCGAACTCCTGGCTCTTGTCTCCTATTTGAGATAAGTGAATCTGGGCTGCAGGCACGCCTCGGCTTGCACCTGGGAGACCTCAAACTCCGATAGGAAGAGTCCTATTAGGACAGGGAGACAACAGGCCAGAGAGGGTATCTACCCCCTCGGTGGGTGTGCAGTCACGGTGACGTCCCGAGGACTAAGACATTTAAAAAAGGAGCGCTGCCGTCGAGCTGGCTCTGCAACCTTAGCCAAGTCACCGCTCCGGTCTGAGACCCGGTTTTCCAGGTGTGTTACAGCATCGCCAGGCCACGCCCCCTAAACCTTGGGGGCGTGGCTTAGAGAGCCCCACGCCCCCGGGCTCCTTGCCGCCCTACGTCGTGCGTGACGTCCGTCGACGGCGAGTGAGCCCCCGTGAGGTCACTGCCCTCCCCCTCGGAGTGCCGACCCTCCTCAGGGGTGGGGCCCGTGTCCGATTCCAGACTCGCTCCGCTCCGCCCCCGCGGGCGCCTCCTCGCGGGCCAGCCCGGCGCGTCACGTGACGGGTCGGCGGCGCTGGCGGTTGCTGTCAGCTGATATCACGGGTTGGTGGCAGCGGCAGCCGTGGCGATGGACTTTCTCCTGGGGAACCCGTTCAGCTCTCCGGTGGGACAGCGCATCGGTGAGTCCCCGGAGCCTCGCCGGGCCCTGCCGCGAGGCTCCGCGCCCGGCCTGACCCCCTCGGGCGCCCGAGGTCCCCAGCCGCACCCCGGAGGGAGGCCGGGAGAGGAACGAGGCTGGCGCGTCTCTCTCCCAGACCCGGCCCCGCCCCTTCCCCCGCCCCCTGTTGATTGATAAGAACCGTGGCCCATTGGGAAGCCTCGGCTTGTGATGGGTGCCTACAGCAGCCAGTAGGGGGAGAGGGAGGGCGGGTCCTCTCGCGGCTCAGCCAACGGACGGCTGCCGGGGTCGCGAATCCAGGGAGAAAGTTTGAAGGGTTAAAGGGACTACGTGGTTTTTCAGTCGTTGGTTCCTTCGATGCCTCGGCGTCTCTTTCCCGGAACCCTGGTCGCGGCGGCGCCTGGTCTCTGGCCCTCTCTTTCCCGGCTCGCCGGGCCCTCCAGACACAGATACCTGAGAAGGGCCACGAGTCCATTCTCCTGGGATCCGAGACTAGGGCTTGGCGTCCAGGCGGCGACCTGTGGGAGGGGAGAGTGCGGGGCGGGGTGCGCTGGGCAGCCCTGCCTCCTCGGCCCCCGCCGGACCAGGCGGCCAGTCCTGGACCCCGAGGCCTCAGGACGTACCCTCCTCGGCAGCCCGCGCCCACCGGCTTCGGTTGGAAGTGGTCCTAGGAACCACCTGATGGCGCCTCCCTCATTCCCCAGTAAATGGCACCGCCGGACGGACGCCCCGGCCCTGGCACCGCTTACTCAGAGCCCAGGTCTCCTGACTCCTGACTCCCTGTGGACGGGAGACTGACTGGTTCTGTGACGTTACCTCCGTTGCCTAGGTTTCCTCTCCTGTAATTAGGGGATAATAATGGTCCCTGTCTCCGTGGGGTTGTTGTGGAGATGGACTCGTTCATTAGAACCGTGCCTGGCACATGGCCAGTGCTCTATAAAAAGAAAGAGGTGATGTTTATTATCATCGTTACTGAAATACCAACAAGTGAGTCTGGGGGCGGGGGAGGAGGGGAGGGCAGGGAGGGGAGAGAGCTGTCCCTAGAAGTAGCTGGACAATAGGTCTTGCAGGTTATTCTTTCGCACCCACAGGCCGAGGCCCAAACAGCTGACACTCACCCAGGAACGGCCTGGCCGGGCCTCCTTGCAGGAAGAAACCGCAGGCCGTTCAGTGAAATTCTCTCTTCGTCTTTTTGCTGTTTTTAGCCTGATATCCAGACTGGGAAAATTTGATCTTTTAGACAGAACGTTTGATCTTTGCACACGTACTGTCCTGGAAGCCAGACCTCACTTACGCCTGTCGACCAGCTCTGTGTTGTAATCGCCGCTGTGGCTCGGTTAATGGCTCTTCCGAGGTTTTGTAATCAAACCTCTCCAAGAGGGGTGTGGCAGCAGAGGATATGCACACCAGGAAACTCCTGGATCAGGGAGGGGGGCCTGTCCTCTCAGGACCACCGCCTCCACCCAACTCTCCCACACAGTCCCCACCCACCCCCAATTTCCCCCCCTCCCCCCCAGTCACTGTGTTGGAGCTGAAAAGAGGAGGCAGCTCTCCTTTCATCTCTGTTTCCCCAACTATTATACAAATGGGGCTGCTTTCATCACATGCCAAATCTGAGACTGACTTACTATAAAAAAGAAAATCTGGCCAAGCCAGCCAATTTTCGGAGGGTTCCTAGAAAAGCTCGCCTGGACTCTGGGCCTCAGTGGTCAAAGAAAACAGCTTCTCTCCTTACGCTGATCCAGGGTTGCCTCCTTGGGCAACAAATACTCTAGCCCAGGGGTCCTCAAACTTTTTAAAGTGGGGGCCAGATCACGGTCCTTCAGAGAGCTGGAGGGCCGGACTATATGAACTACTAATTCCTACTGTAACACCTCGGCTGCGCTCACTGCCCAAAAAACCTGGCGGGCCGGATCAGACTCCTCTGCGGGCCGCATGTGGCCTGCGGGCCGTAGTTTGAAGACGCCTGCGAGTGGCTCTAAATCATAATGCCTTAAAGCACAAACCAAGTTTTGCTGCTGGAAGGGTCCTTACCCTGCGGCTCTTCTCTCTTATGAAAACACCTCAGGCAGGGACCCACCCCGAGAGATCTGGGGTAAAGCCCATTATTGGTATTTCTAACAAGGTCTCAGGGATGCTAATGACACTGGGTTGAAAACCACATTGAAAATCTATTCCAGTCCATTGCCTTCATTTTAAAAAATATGTTTTTATTGATTTCAGAGAGAGGAAGGGAGAGAGAAAAGAGAGAGAGAGAAACATCAATAAGAGAGAATCACCAATCAGCTGCAAAAATCATCAATTGAGTACCTCCTACATGCCATCAACAAGGTTTCGAACCGGGACCTCCTGGTTCACAGGTCAACCAGGAACCACACTGGCTGGGCCTTCATTTTACACAGGACACTGAGGCCCAGAGAGGGGAAGCTGGAAAGTGTGACTCACCCAGGATCCCAGTGAAATGATAGGAAAGCTGAGATGAACTCTCCGCAGCCACTGAGATTTGAACCAAAGCAGAAGAGGCTGTAAAAGTAAAATTAAATGAAGAATATCAGCCATCGAGTTAATGCTCTCAGTATTCCATATTTTTTCTTATAAGATAAAGAAGCAGAAGTACCACCGATATCTGTGATTATTGGTGACCTAGTTGTAGCTGCTTGCATGTCTGCGAACTGCAGGAGTAAAATCATCTCAAGGCTGCCGACTCTGTCCCCGTTGAGAGGAGAGCCCCGTAGAATTGGCATTCCCAAGCACAGTGGTTCTAATGGTGTTCACCAGGGATCCCATTCACAGAGCCCCGGTGCTGCTCCCTCCACCCGCCCCTCCGTGCCCCCTTCAAACCCCAGGCATCGCCACCTGGCCCCTGAGGTCTTCTCTGACCCCTTCAAGTCCAACCATCGCTTTTGTGCTCTCCAAGAAGCACCCCCGCACAGGGGCTCCCTCACTGTCTGCCTTTGTGCGCTGAGCTTCCGCTTCCTCCTCGGTGGAAAGGTGGTTATAGCAGCATCTACCTCTCAGGGTGGGTGTGAGAATGAAGTGAGATATTCCTGGAGAGAGATTGCCGGTGTGCGTGAAACAGTAGCTCTTGCTGTCACCAACATCATTTGTATTATTGCCACCATCATCACACCAACAGGGCACTGCCCCATTATGTTAGGAGAAAAGGAAGGTAACAGTTTGTGAGCAAACATCACGTGCCACATGCCATGCTAGTCTTCTTGGTATGACTCTTCACGGTGGCCCTACAAGATATGCTTGCCTATCTTCCCCCTTTTCACCAAAAGCCCAAGGGGAGGTGTCACTGCCCACGGCCTCACAGCTCATCAGGGTGGGCGCCTGACACAGAGCCCTGCTCCTCTCGCACCCTCATCACGCTGCCTCTGACTGGCCGCTGCTTGGTTGAAATTAACATCAGTCCCACCCTTCAAGGTCCACAGCTACTGTTCCACCTACAGACCAGCTTTCCTGGCTCTGACGCGTGTTTCCAGTCCCTCTCCCTCACCTGAGAGTAGGAGAGCTCCCAGGAGCCGCAGGCTGTGGCTGGAAGGATCCCAGAGAACTAGGACTAGGCACTTGTTGACACAGCTGTCTTCTTCCAAGGATTTCAAAACCTTTTCAGGGTATTCTCTAAGGACACACTCACTGGCCGCCTTTTAGAGACCGACTTCAGAAGGCAACCCACCAATCCATTTTCAATTTCTGGCTGTCACCTCACCGCTGGGTCTTTGAGCCAGAGACCCAATGGGCTCACCAGCAGTGACTAATTTAAATGTGGGCAACCCTGGGGACCAGCCCCCCCGTCACTGGGATAGGGGAACGGGATGTGATGGGAGGTCTCAGAGTCTAAGGATGAATGAACCCTGGGGTGGATGGGAGAAGGCCAAAGGTCAGGGAGAGCTGCTCTCGGAGCCGCAGAAGCTGAGCCACAAGAAGGAATCGTGGACAAGAGACCACAGGTGCCAACTAGGGAGAGAATACTTCGGGCCCTCTGGGATGCCATTTTGGGAATGATGAGCTAAAAACCAAACTGGCAGCGTTGTCGAGGGGCCACCAGGCTGGGAGGCAGGAATCCTGGGTCCAGCTCCAGCTCTGTTCCCGCCAAGTTCCCTCTGCATCACCCACACCTCGTCTGAAAAGTAGCAGAGCCACCCACCATTCTCCCTTTGTTCCCCAGGCGATCAGTGAGGAACAACTGAGGGGACAGGTGAGGACAGGGAAGGATTGATCCCAGAGGGAAGAGAGGAACTGATGGCTATTGTGGAGGAATGATAGCGCTGATTCCACACGGCTCAGGGAGTCCGATGCCAGCACAGATAGCTGTCCCTGCCACCTTTCAGAGATGGGTCTGGCTGCCTTGTCTGGTAGTGAGCTCTCCACCCCGTAAGTGTGAAAGCAGAGGCCAGAGGGAAGGGGGGCTATAAAGAGGAGTCCTGCGTGGACTAGGGCAGTCTGCAGACTTTCTGTAAAGCATCAGTAGTACTACTGGTTTTGTGGGCCATTTGGCCTCCGTTGCAACTACCCAACTCTGCCGTTACATTACAGAAGCAGAGGCGGCCGCATCTGTCTATGAATGAGCGTGACTGTGTCCAAGCAAACCTTCGACACTGAAATTTGAATTTTATGTAATTTTCACATGATGAAATATTATTATTCTTTGGATTTTTTTCCAACCATTTAAAGGTGTAAAGACCATTCTTTCATTGATTGGCCCTATAAAAACACCAAATTTGGCACTTGGGCTCCTAGTTTGCAGGCCTCTGGGTCAGACCAGCTGGCCAGAGACGGAATGTTGGGAAGACAGTTTCTTCAAAGTGGGGTTCTGGGGCGCCCACATCAGAGATGCTTGAGGTCACTCCAGCTGTGGGCCCCCTGAGTCAGAATCCCCACCCTTTCCCACAGTGTGCCAGGAAGCTCTGAGTCCTTGATCTCTTAAGTGCGGGAGCCATGTTAGAGCCATAGTCTGTCTTCAGGGTCACAGGGAATGATGTCGAGAAAGGGCTCTTGAGCCAGACCACATGGTCTGAGTCCGGGTTCAGACTGCATCAGCTTTGCTACTTGGGGCAAGTTCCTTAACCTCTCTGAGCTCCAGTTTCCTGCCTGTAAAGTAAGGGTAATAATAGCACCTATCCGTCGGGGTTGTTGTGTTGTCATGTTGTGAAGCATTTGGCATGGTGCCTGCCAGACTACCCGTGTCCATAATTGTTACCCGTGTTCATTGGTGGGTCCTCATTGCTGGGGCCCAGTCTGGGTTAGTGGCAGAGCCAGGGTGCCAGCCCAGGGCCCTGACTCTCGTGCAGCCTGTGTTGGCCTTGGCGTGACTGGGAGAGAGCAGTCACTGGCTGGGTGGCAGCCACATTCACAAGTCAGGTTTCAGGGTGTGGGGAGAACCGATTCTCCCTTGGGAACTGGAGCCTTTTACTGCCCTGTGGATGGAGCTGATGAATAGGTTTTGTTCCCTCACTGAGCTCAAAGAAATAAGAGTAAAGTCCCGGATTTCCGCTCTTCTGATTTTAATGGAGGAAAAAAACAAAATCCCTCAGTGTCTTCTAATTAGCTTGGGGCTATCACCCATGAGTAGCAGGGAGATTGGGGACCAGTTAACTCGTTACCTCCTCACCCAGGGCCCTGGATCTAGGCGAGGCTCTCCAGGCTCCTCCTCCGGGCACCGCCTGATGTTTTATATATCTGCCCCAGGCTGCCTCCAGTTTTATTTTTATGGTGTTTCCTTTTGTTGGCTCACCTTTTTAAATTCGGCCTCTTCCTGTGTAATTATATCTATGAAATCATTACATGGATGAGCTAGTTCATGCTCTTTTCTTAGTCCACATTAAATGGAATATTTAACTCTAGAAATGTCTTTAAATGTGCCCGTGAGACCATCTAACATGATCCTAGCTAGCACTTGGTCAGAACTTGGACTTCTGCATCAGAACATGTGGGTTTAAATGCCAGCTCCACCCCTTCCTAAATGTGCCCCAGGCAAGTGACAAAACCTCCCAGGGACCGATGTCTTTTTTTTTTTTTTTTAATATATTTTATTGATTTTTGTACAGAGAGGAAGGGAGAGAGATAGAGAGTTAGAAACATCGATGAGAGAAAGTCATCGATCAGCTGCCTCTTGCACACCCCCTACTGGGGATATGCCCGCAACCAAGGTACATGCCCTTGACCAGAATCGAACCCGGGACCCTTCAGTCCCCAAGCCGACGCTCTATCCATTGAGCCAAACCGGTTTCGGCAGGGACCGATGTCTTGATGGACTGTGGGAACCTTGGCAACCGATGGAGCATTGACAAGTGCCATGGAGAGCCAAACTGCTGCGCAGACCTGAAGACAGACGCTGGGCTTCGCTCCTGGTGAGGCATTAGATCAGGGACGGAAGGGAGGGGGAGGAGAGCGGACATGGGGGCCAGCCAGACCGCATGAGGGTGACAGCTGAAGGAGAACTGAAGGATGGACAGAGTTGTCCCCTGTTGGACTGGAGCTTGTTTGCATTGGTTACTGTAAAC